TAACATGTTTTTACTCCAAACTCACTTCATAACGTCAGTCGAGTGTTTGAAATAAATCCTTCTGTGAGATGATGTGGCTTCTTACACCGAATAAGACACGCAACATATTTCATAGTATTCTAAGCAGTGATAAAGGCTATGCATTATAAATATACTTTATTTTAATTAATATTATAATAATAATAACGCTGATAAACCATATATTGTCATAATCGTGTGTTTATTAGTCACATTGAATCAATGAAAGCAGTTGAATCTTCTGTTTATTCAGCAGCTGCTATAGGGATTTCCTGGATTTCTTCTGCGAGACGTATTTGGAGTTTCAGCGCGAGAGCACCCTCTGGCCTTTGGATGGAGATTTACTGCTGATCACAGAACCGTGCTTCACTGAAAGATACGCATGACAATCACAGCTTCTGTCTAATCGTGATTTCGATTCCATTTTGATTTATCGTGCAGCCCTAGTAGTAGTAGTCAAAATTTGATATGAATGTATTTTGTTTGAATTTTAATTTGCAAAAATAAAAAAGCACACTCTATCTCAGTGGTTTTCAGTCCTGGTCCTGGGGACTTTCTTGAGTGACACCTGTGGTCAGTTTAGCGAGCTGCTGTCTTCTGGTGACTGAATCAGGTGTGAGATATATCCCCAGGACCAGAATTGAAAACTACTGCTCTATCGTGTCAAATGAACCCCCATTATGCATTCTAGGGTTAATATGGGGTGTTTTCTTGAACAGAAGGGAAAGCTTTCATATTGAAAAGCGGAACGATTTGTTTGTTTGTTGTTTTTAATCACTATGCCTATGGCTGTCCGAACACTTAACACAAGCACTCCTCTGCGTCTTTCCTGCATGACTCTTGCCTTCTTTAGCCCTTCTTTAACCCTCTTTCTGTTAGCTCTTATACATTTCAGGTACCTGTTTTTCTCTTTCTCAGAGGCTACACGTGGTTCTGCTGTAAAAAGATTTTCTGTCTCATTTGCGACACCCAACCAATGGTATGTTTGCTTTTGTTAATTCCTAGTTACACGTCTTCCCCTCACATTCAGTTTTTGAGTTTTTTATTATTTGTTCTTCTGGATATAGAGTTCCTCCATCAACCACATGATTGGGAACAGGAATATTAATGTTAGAGGACTAAAAATACCCATTCAACACACCAGGAACCAACAGTTTATGTCTCATTACATGCATTTCAAAGATTGCCGTCAGTTCTGTTCCTTCATCTGTGTGAAAGCACAATATGGTTAAAAAGGGAATTTGACTTGCTTGATTTGCTTGTTTATTATTTGTGGCTGAATGAGCTAGTTCTTAGAAACTGATGAAAAAATGTTGAGTTTTGAGGTGATCAGAATTTGCTGCTCTTAGGCCTATTTAAAGGATATATATTTAATATAACACCTTTTATTTTAACCGGTTTACATTTATCTGCATATTTTAGCTTTGCTAACACTTTACATGTTTTCTGTGTGTTTTTTCAGTTCCAAATTCTATAGTATACACAAAACTTTATGATCTAACAGAGTCACATAAATTAAAGAGAAAATCAGTTAATAGTTGAAATGTGAAGCATTATTTAAAACAATCTAGTGCTGGGCGGTATACCGGTTCATACCGAATACCGGTGTTTATTTTTGTTATTCCAGTGCTGTCCCGCGAATGCGAGGTCTGACTTTACCGGAGAAGTGTCGCCTCTCTCGGCGTCTGTTCTGTGCAGTGAGCGGCAGAGAAGCAGCGCATTCAATTGGCCGCACCGCAGCCGACTCGTCAATAAATGAGTACAAAACAGCGTTTCCTAGCACCTGTCGCTTACTGATTGTTTGTACCGTGAAACCGGTATAATTTTAAAAAATACCGTGATATAAATTTTTGGTCATACCGCCCAGCACTAGTTGTATCCCTGAATATTTAATACATGTGCTGTAGTGTTTTATAAGTTGATAACATCTAAGATGATGTTTCTGGAAGTTTAGAAAGTTGCCCATTTTTAGCATACCATTTTTATTGTTTGTTTGTTTGTTTTTCTTTTAATCTGCTTTTCTAAATGAGTCAGTGTTTTCCAGTATGTTCAGTGGTAAGTGTTAATCATGCTTAATATACTCCTCCTATCCTGTCTAATTAGTGTTTACTTTATTTTGTATGTAGTATTTAGAGCTAGTCTTTACACCCTATTTTTGACCCTTACCAAACTCCAGGTCCCCTGGGATCTCTCATAGAGGAAATACAAATCTGAATTATCTTTCATTTTTAACTTTATCTATCCACAAGAAAATTATCCTCTATGCATTGTACGTTTTTGGTTTATTCCTTGCATTTGCAGAAGGAAAAGTAACACATGCTTGTTTGTATTTTTAATGTATTTTACTCTTTTAAATAATTACTGAGACAATCTTATCTTCGCATTTAAGACCTATTCTAAGTAAATCACCAAACCTAATAATCTGAATATTGCCTAATATTTGTTGCCTTACATTGTGTTATTAGCTCCTTCACTTCTTCACTTCTTAAGATGCCTCTTCTTTTCTTGTTAATAGGTAATGTGTTTTTAACAACATTAGCAAATCAATCTAAATGTAATCAGTTCAGATTGAATGAGTCCACAGTAAAATGAACAGGGTTAGACTAATGAACTGAAGAATTCAGAAGAATTGGTTATTTCGATTTTTAATTTTGATAAATGAGTAACACTTTATAATAAGTATACACTAATAAAGTACTTACAAATCATTTGCAAACTATTAGTTTAGAGTTGATTATAGTTTATAAACTGTAGTTAACACATTAATGGACTCTATACAAATAGTGAGTTCTTCATTCATTATCTCTGTAATTAAAACAAATTATTATTGTTTAGTAAGCTCATAGTAAAGAGTTAGATAATGCTTTGTTCACAATTTATTAAATAGTAAATAGTTCTCACTTTAGATTAGGTCACGGAAAATGTCATTAATTAAGTGCTTTAAACCAACCTTTAATTTGACTTTTACATACATTATAGGCGTAATGGTTTTTACACTGTACAAACTGTATATTCTATCCCCTAGACTACCCATCACAGAAAACTAGAGATAGAGACCGTTTTTAATTAATGATATTTTCCCATTTTCTGTGACCTAATTTAAAGTGAGAATTATTCACTTCTTATTAGCAATTAACAATTCCTTTACTAAGAGCTAATTAAACTATAATAATTGTGTTAATTACGGTGATAATGAATGAAGAATTTCCTTGCATAGTCTATTAATGTTTATAAACTATGAATTAACTATAAACTAATAGTTTGTTAATGATTTGTAAGTACTTGATTAGTGTATACTTATTATAAAGTGTTACCGATAAATGTAACCATTTATGACTGTTGGTGTCTTTTATATTCTATAACTGTTGCTGGTGTGTATTAATACAATAAACCATGAGAGACTGTGTGTTACAGTGGAATAATTACTGTAATGCATGGCCTCTCATTGCTTATTGCTTTTATTAGAAAGACTCCTGAAGATTATATTCAGACATTTTCTGCCAAATTGCATGATGTGAATAAATCAAATCATAATCATGTTGTTTCACTAGTTTCATCTGAGAAATGTAGAAAAAAAAAAAAAAAACGTGTACAAGGTAGGTCGATTATCATTTCCGCTTCATAAATTCATCTTGGCCAATGTTTTTGGTAGATTGAAGGTATTGTGAGCTGTTCTTTGTGTGACCCATCTGCCTCCATCCTGCACACCTCAAACTCATGTTTGACGGTGTTGTTGCTTGTCACTTTCAGAGGAAATGGAACGCCATGTTTCTATCATGTGTCCAAGATCTTAAGTTATAGTTCAAGCTATATAATTCTTCTAGCTGAAGAAGTCGTATAGTCTTTTTTTTTTTTTTTTTTTTTCAGATTCTGATATTCTGGTATATTTCATTGAAGGTTTTGAGTTGTACTCCATGGTTCCTTCAATCTGTCCCTTGGAGACCCTCCATAATTCCATGTCTCTCAAACAAGTGGATGACTTCCTCGCCTCCATAGCCATATCTCATGATCCAGTACTGGAAATATCTGCATCCTCCCCAGGTACAGTCAAGACATCATGCTCTGACTGCCACTGTAGAATGTGTGTGGTTTACTGTACATTAACCGCTTTCTATTGGTTTCATTTGTTCCCTCAGCTGTGCCCACCAAGAAGGCTCCTTTGAACACTTACACTCCAGCAAAAGTTTTGCCCTGTCCATTCACCCAATCTCTTGGCAAGAAGATGTGCTCATCAGAGAAGAGTGCATCAGGCATGTTGCATTAAATGCATATATTGATGGTGAAATATTCTTCTTCTTCTTCTTCTTGCAGCCCATAGAACTGCTTGTGGGAAAGTTATGAAATTTGGCGCACAGATAGAGGACAGTCTCTATATTATCCACAGCAAGTTTGGAGTTTCTAACTCAAACTTTCTAGTGCCACGAAAAGGCTAAATTTGCATTCATGTTTATGCTAATAACTTTTGAACCGCAAGGGCTAGAAACAAAATTCTTTTTTGTAGAGCATAATTAGAATTTTTACGGGTCAAGTACTTTTCCTAACTTATCCTAGACGGTTTGTCTGATTTTCACCAAAATTGGCTCAGATCATATTAAGACTGTGCTGGAAAAAAGTTATAAAAAGCTTTTCAATAGACCAAACCGTTCTCGTAAAGCTTGTTCGTGAATTTTTCACAAAAAGGGATGTGAGGCTATTTCTTCGCAATGCTTTAGCGGATTCTGACCAAACTTGGTACGTGTTATACCAAGCATGACCTGAGGGCATGTGAATAGTTTCAGCACAGCGCCACCTAAATGTCATCTTAAAAACTGACATTTTTGGAGCAGCATACCGAATCAAATGATGTCCGATTTGCCAATTGTCAATTGGGTGAAGTGGTACAAAATCGTCTGAATTATAGTGAATGAATGAAAAAAAAAGATTTTTATCCAGTAATCACAAACAACTAGAAAGTCCATAGAAAGAAGTCATGCAAATTCATTGTTCAGAAGGTGTGGGAAACCTGTTATTCATAAGAAATGGAAACACTATCAGATAAAATTGCTGAAGTAGCTCAAGATATACTTGTCACAATCCAGTGTGTCCCTTTCTGTTTGTTTACTCAGTATATTTTTTCCCTTCAGATCATGATGATTTTCCAGCCAGAAAACCCAGAGGTGTTTCAGCAGATGTTTCAGAGTGTGGTGCGAGTAGCGGCAAAACCTCACAGCCAAGCTCAGAGACCAAGCAGCCCAAGCCTGCTCCCAACATTTCCATCCTTCTGCCACCTGAATCTCATGACTCTGCCGTTAAAACCCAACAACAATCCAGTGGCACAGCAACACATGAAACCCCTGCTCTAGAAAATAAGAGTGCTACGACAACCGTGTCAGGCTTTTACACATGACATCCATCTACAAACCCCCAACCAGGGCAAAAACACGGCTATCAAAGTTGACCACATGCCAACTTGCCAAGCACATGGACAACTGATGCATATGTTAACTGGACCCAGTGAACTAAAACTCACAGAGCATGTTACAGGCCTCACCTCATTACTTTTAGTGACAAGAATTTGTCATAATTAGCTGTGCCTTTATTTTCATTTAAAGGAACATCTCACTGAATGTTTGATACCAAAACACAGTCCACCAAAAGATATCACATTGTTGTAATTACAATCATATTGTAGGCTTATTTAGCTTTTCCATTCACCTTGAATGGTTCAGAAGAATGTGTTACATTTATCTTGTATATTTGAATGTTGAAATGTAAAAGCTCGCATAGAATTTACTTGTCATAGTATGACATGTTGCTGCAGCTAGTTTTAATTCTTTTGGAATATTTAATGAATGCATCACTTTCTGGGGCCTCATCAAACAAGGTCCAAAGTGATATTTCTTTAGAAACCTATTTTAATGCATATATTTGATTACAATCAGACTGTGCACTTCTTTCCCTCCACTGCAACTGACATCTGCCTTATGCTAACAATTACTTTTCCATCAAAGTGAAATTAAACATGAATGTTGTGTAAATTGGGAATGAACTTTGGTGTTTTTAAGTTCATGAAAAAGAAACCATTTAGTCCAAACTAAATGTTGCATTAGAAAACTGGAAATGGTTGAATAGTCCTTTTGTAGCCACTCTTCAAATCTCTGGCCCCAAAGTATTTTGTGTTCTAATCTAATTGCATAATTATATAGTACCCAATCCTGTCAAATTCTGGAGGTCCACTTTTCTGCAGAGTTTAGCTCAAAGCTTCTCCAACACACTGGCCTGTAACTTTGTAGTAATCTTCCTGAAGACCTTGATTAGCTGGTTGGGGTGAGTTTGATCAGTGTTAAAGCTAAACTCTGCAAGGAATATGGTCCTGCAGGAACAGGTTTGGGAAGCATTGAATCAGGCATCACTAGTGTCTAGGGCCACATTTACACTGCCGATCTTGATGCCCAATTTCATGTCTTCTTTTAAAAGTCGAGTCAAGTCACCTTTATTTATATAGCGCTTTATACAATACTGATTGTCAAATCATCTTTACTGTGTTAAACAGGAAAATTATGTTTCAATAAAGTAAACAAAATTCAATTCTGCTCTTAAAAAAGAGGTCAATAGTAAACAGTCGATTTTCCAGTTAAAGGCAGTTCATTGTTGATTCAGTTCAGTTTACTAACTGTGAAGTTAATTTCTAACACTATACTTTGTATTATATTACCTGTGCATCAAATTACAAAAAACTAGTTAATGCTAATGTGAGGGTGTTTCTAATACAGCGTCTATGGGACTGACGGTAAATTTGACATCGCTCTCCCTACTGACTGCCGTTATCAGTCTCTCTCTATTTTTTTCCTTTTTTTTTTTTTGTATTCTCAATAAAGTAAACAAAATTCAATTCTGCTCTTAAAAAAGAGGTCAATAGTAAACAGTCGATTTTCCAGTTAAAGGCAGTTCATTGTTGATTCAGTTCAGTTTACTAACTGTGAAGTTAATTTCTAACACTATACTTTGTATTATATTACCTGTGCATCAAATTACAAAAAACTAGTTAATGCTAATGTGAGGGTGTTTGTAATACAGCATTTATGGGAGTGACTGTAAATTTTATATTGTTCTCCCTACTGACTGCCGTTATTAGTCTGTATTTTTTTTCCTTTTTTTGAAAGTCATGAAAACACTATCATGGAGTTTTTCTTTTGCTGTTTGAGCAAATGGGAATGCAAAAAATATATTTGTGTTAGTCTCCCATTCACTGCTATAGAAGTTTACCCAACTGTGACGACGACTGCTGCTGAGAAACCTGGAAATGTGAAAAAGGTCCATTAATCTATAAAGCACCTCTGTAGAACTGGTGTCATCGGTCCAGCTCAGTTCAGTTCTCTTATGATGGTGTCTGTGCAATCAAGTCCATAATATTGTCCCAATTAACCAGTAGCAAGGAACCCAAACTCCATTGGTGACAGAAATGAAGTAAAAAAAACCTTGGGAGAAACCAGACTCAGTCGGTGGGCCAGTTCTCCTCTGTCCAGACGAAACCAGCATGGTGTAGTTTAATTCCAGGCTGCAACACAGGTCAGATTGTGCAGAGGACTCATCTGGTTCTCAAGGTCTTGTCCCGTTTGCGGTCTAGTTGACGAGGTCTTCACTGACATTCAGGGCTGTAGAGGCAGTGCTTCATCCGCAATTATACAAAGCTACGAGAATACTTTTTGTGCACAAAAGAATAAAAAATAACGACTTTATTCAACAATTTGTCTCCTCCGCATCACCCTGGTGCCATTTTGGAGAATATCCGCTGGACATAAACAACGTATGTTTTTTTGTGTCAGCTGCGTCACACGGATATGCTGTTTCCGTTCAGATCAAATCACAACAACGTAAGAAACAGATCCGGCATGACGCTGTAGATCTCCTTGCTACGTTTCTGGACTTGGGAACATTTCAGTTGTGTTGCAGTTTATGCAGGGTCAGTGTACCTCATAATCGAGATCCCCCACTCGCCGTGTAACCACAAAAGGTCCTTGCCACTTCGCGAGTAATTTAGAGCTAGACGTTGGAAGTAATACAAGCACTTTCTCTCCCGGTGTAAATTGCCGCGCTCGCGTACCCCTGTTGTACAGCCGACTTTGTCTGTCCTGCGCCTGGAGCAAATTCTCCATTGACAGCCGCCCCAGAGTGTGGAGTTTTGCTCGGAGGTCCAGGACATACTGAATTTCACTACGGCTGTTTGAAGGCCCCTCCTCCCAAGCCTCTCTAATGACGTCAAGCACCCCGCGGGGCTGACGACCATAGAGGAGCTCGAATGGGGAAAACCCCGTGGAGGCTTGTGGAACCTCCCGCACCGCGAACAACAGGGGCTCGAGCCATTTATCCCAATTTTTGGC